TTGTTTACGAAGAGAAAATCGTCCGTGAATTTATGGTATTTTGTTCATTTAAGACAAAACTCCGGTACAACAGGCACCATAACAAAGTGGCATACAAAAATGTAACGATGATATTGTGAAGAAATAAAAAAGACGTGTCTTGAAGCTAGGAAAGTTCAACACACTTTATCAACGGTGAAGTAAAAAATGTGTTACAATATTTCCATTGGTTTTATTCTGGTCTATATCTAATAACCTGTCAAGACAACAGGTTACATTATATCTGAGACTCGGTCGTGTATGGTGTAAAGGCTTATTTATACAGGTATACTTATTACAGTTGATAATAACAGTTTTTGTAAGGGTAGCCTGATACACAGTGGAATTTACGGATAGATAGCAGATAGGCTTTTAACTCAAGCTAAAATTGACATGGGATGTAGAGTTCTTCACAATCTAGTCAATCACCAGAAGAAAAAGGGAGTGTAAGGAGCCTTGTCTGATACTGACCCTCACTTTGAACGCATCTGTCAGCTGTCCTCCATGCAGGACTGCAGTTTGATCGATCGCATCAAATCTGCGCGATGTTGACCACTTTCCGAGGTACACCATCGTGTCGAAGACGTTTTTATAAGGTCCTTCCGCCCATGTTATCAAACGCTTTCCCATAGTCAATGAAGTTGAGGTATAGTAATGAGTTCCATCCAACTGATTACCCAACAATGATCTGAAGCATCGCGATTTGGTTTGCACAAGACCGATCCTTACTGAATCCAGCCTTTGGTAAATGAAGACCCGTCAACTACCATGGCCGAGTTTCAATGGACTAAGCTATTTTTCTGGTAAGCGCTTTTTTGAGCAAGGTTGCTTTCTATGGAATGGTTTACTGAATCCATCTTCAACACTATTTTTTCCAGGCTTGTTACCGGCAGTAACCATGGAAGGGCTACAGGTGGGGTTACAATAAGGTATACAAAAACAGGACACATAACACAAGTAAATTTGAACAAAAATTTGAGGAAGATGCAGCACATTTAAAAAGTGAAGACATTAATAAAATAGCTAGGAAAGATTGCATAATATGATAGTTTAGTTAAAATAGAAGACAGAGGATTCATAATTCACTTAGTTAAAGTCCCCTTCACTATCGTGAAAAATTCTAAGAAATTACGGCAAGACCTCCAGTGTTTAATATTCTGTACGTTTGATTGCGTCTCAAACCAGCGAGTTGCATCACCTCTAAAAACTCAACCAGGGAACCATGATAAACAGCTCTCCATTTCGTAGCATCACGCCGTAGACCGACTGCTTCCTCTCTTTTCATCAGTTACGTCGATATCAGCACTCACATAAATATCTAGATTCTCAACCCTTTCAACTGCCTCGTTCGTTGCTGTTTCCAAATATCGATGAAAAAGTCGAAGAGGACGAGTGAAATTGGGCAACAGTGCAACAATATCGGTGACTACTGCATTGAAAATTGGTACTGGGAAGAAACAGGTTGTGACCTCCGCAAAGCTCAAAGAGACAGTCACCCCTGTCTGACATGGAAACAACGAGTCCCTGTTGGCTACCAAGCGGCTCTACTCTGTGTATAGACGGTCGACCTGTGCTTCGAATCCCCGGTTAGTACTACAATTTCTGTCGAACGTGCTTCACTGACATCGTTTATTTGATGATGGAACTCATCCTCGATCGCATCTGGGCTGCAATCCGTGGAGACGTAGTCGAGGATCACGAAACGACATCGTCCCACATGCCAATTTCTATCCACTTTGGTGGTGTTTTGTAATCAAACAGGACACACGACTGACAATGGGGACCCGCTCGACTAGAATGACCTTTACCCTGGTGCTTTCCGAGTCACCGAGACCGGATATTAATTCAACAGGGTCCCCCCAATAAGTCCGTTTGGATGGGATGTGATTTCGGGAAAGTTGCACCAAGAACCGTATTCGGAGGAATTCAAAATTTCGGACAGAGACTTGAGATCATACAGAAAAATAAAGGAACACACGGAATGAAAATAATGAGGCATATACAAGTCACGTAAAGTAAGAATGGATGTGACAAAACAACTGTGAATAACAATCAGGAAGGGCACCTTCCAACAGTAATTATCGTATTTTGCCTCAAGTGGGATACCATTTAAGTATTATGGCTAAGGAAACTGGCTTACTTAGTGAGTCACTCTCCGTGGCTTTGAACTAGATGATTATCGACAAGTCAGTGGAGCGACACAAGGAGTTAGCATCCAATAACTGCGCGTGGCCAAAATCAGATTCCTACTTCAATCGTTCTTTCGAGGTCTGGAGCCGCGTCCTTTGTATTCAAAAACTCAGTTCAAGCGCATGATAACCATTTTTCGTTCTCTCAGTCTAAACAACACCTCCACCGCAAAAAGGCAGTAAGTAGGACTTCCTGAGGAGGGGTTGTAAACACATGAACTCACGAGAGCATTTTGATATAGTGAACTTACTTCACTTTCCGAGTGAACCAGGGCATTCGGGAGGTATTACCAATTAAGAAATAAGTCGCGTTTAGTAATTATAACTACACAAACGTATGGGGAATCTCCGACTAGTGGAAGCGTTTATTTTGATAGTACACAGAGCTACACGCCTCTACTCGCTACTTGTAAGGGTAACATATAGATGCGTCCACTACATATGAGGCACTTTCAACATCCTATAGAACAGAAAAATGTATTTCTGAAACAGTGTGAGTCGCTCTAATTTTTTATCAACTGGTGCACTACAAAAATGTCACCTCATAACTATAAAAAAAATCTACCTAATGCCTGGTCTATTTTACATTACCAAGTCCTGTCCTTGTAATGAAACTTGGGGATTTTGTCAGTGATGTCTTTTTCAATAACAAAATGCCCTAACCTGGGAAAAGTGCCAATTGCAAGACCCAGAGAAAGAAGTGAAATGACCAGTCGTATATTAAGTACAAAGCACAATACACTATAGATGCACGACAAGTCTGATGGAAGTGCAGTGAAATTATTATAATAAAGTGATTGATTCACCTGGGGAGTCACAACGTACATGCTGTTACCCATAGGTTGCAATTATAGTTGTTGCTGACTGGCAATTCAGCTTTGTCCCATACGTAAACTGTAAGTGTAGTAATCAAAACGAGGCGCAGTTTCATCAGCGTTGTATACTTACACCCAATATTGGTCACTCATAAAAGTAGACGTCAGACTATAAGTGACAGCAGCCACCTACCAATGTGAAAAAGAGGAATTATAGATTGCACTTGTTTGGTAAACTAACCGTAAACTCTTATAAAATAACTTCCTGGGAAAGTTTTGATGATCTGACTACAACTTACTAAATGTAAGCTGTCTACCACAAATTCCAACACCCCATAATATGAGAATTTTAGCTCTGTACGCATTTATCTCAAAGAATTCGACTTCATGGGTTTAAAGATTATGAAGCTCAGTTGTTTTAATTCTGACCAACAGTATAATTAATAGGATATTGGTGAGACTGATAGAACTATCTGGAAGATTATGGCATACAACATAGTCACAATGTACAAGGAGAGGACAAATTCCAGTACAATAACACGATCACAGTCAACATAACTCGAAAACCTCTTATGATTTTAAAATATTGAGAGTACTACAAATGCACTTCTATGCAAGTTACCAAGATATTTTCCAAGCATATCGTTCTGTATCTTAACTTAAACCGGTCGAACAAAAAGTTTTTAAAATAGTAGAATGGAGGTGTAAGATACCGAATTCAGAGATTAGAAATGAGACCAAATTAGGTAGTGGACATCAGTTAAAAATGTCTATCTTCGTATCTAGGTAATATTGGAACATAATACTTGGTTTCATGGTAAATATCAATTCTAAATTATTGTACTATTCACGAGTACTTGGAATTAAAGTATACTTTGCTGAGTTACAGATTCACGTCCTAGAAGTACACGTTGAGATTGTTCAACGCCCAGAAATTCACCGTTGTCGAAAAAAATTGTTGACCCCTAAGCGTATTTAACGAGTATCCAACCAATTCAGGGCCTAGACCCAATCCAATAAATTCATTGTGTATCGTAGGGACTAATGATTTGCTACAAACCACTACAAATAACTTTACCATAAATATACGTCACGGAGCTGAACTTTAACAGAGTAATTAACAAGTCAGAACCAAATGCCTGGAATCTAAATACAATGCGACAGTGACTCCTGAATGTTTTTTGAAGACGATAATATGACGAACAAATTTAATTTTGGCTGAAGGTTAGAAAAGTAATAACACAACAAACTTAGCTAAACTACTATTTGTTTCTGAAAGAGATTCGCTATTATTTAATTCTAGTCCTGTTAATATGTAGTTAGATGACTAGACCCCAAGAGACTATTATTTATCAAACATATGTACTTGATCAGACTTCAGAGACGTATTAATAGCCCAGACTGTTTGATGGCTTAATGGACTTTAGTGGTATGAAGAATTCCCACAAGTAATATTGGTTTATTAAACTTAAAATATGTTCCTGACATCCCAATGTCGTTTTTATTGGTATATCTAAGAAAAACACTTTCCACTATTAAACTAATGTGCTCTCGTCGCCTCAAGACCAACCACAAAGGCTATCTCCGGCAAATTATTCGAAGCACCTCGAGGATGAAACTACGGTAACTACAATGGTTGGGAAGACGTGAAAATGCTAAACCTTATGAGAAATAAATTCAGCCCATATAACAAAGTACCTAATCAAAAGACACTTAACAAAACCAAATAGCACGTTACAACCAAATAGCAACGACAATCTTAGTAGTGAATACTAACATAACTAAGCACCACGTCACATCGTATCTGGCCAAAGGTATGGTAAGACTCGACAAGCATTACATAAGCATTTAGGATTGTCTCTTTAAAGTTAGGTATAATTAGGTTGTATAATGTTACGACCAAGGACTGGGTTTGATGTAGAAATATTTTCATAACGATGGCTGATGTATAATGATAAAGCAATTAGATTAATTTAATTCATTCAAGACGTTCTTGGCTCATCCTTACACACCGACAAACTTTTCTCTTGAACTCCGCAAAATCTTCCCTGAACTCCTTCTGAATACAAAGACAAATTAACATGCTTATCGAGGACTTACAGCTGCATCAACATTGGCAGGGCTGTCAGGATTAGGCTCAGCAAGCATCGAAATAACAGAAGTAATAATTGTTTCTACGGTATGCACAGGAAGCCATCTTTCTTCGGGCCTTTCGTAGCCCCACAGATCTTTTCCGGGGTGATGAAGAATGGAAATACAAACATCTCCGTCCTGAGCAATATTTGGATGCCAGATATCAGTTACGAACCGCATTTTAGGAGGGCGCTCGGGGTAGTCTTGTGGAAAGTCCAGCTCTGCGTGAAAACAACCACCCTCACTAAAAACGAAGACTAGAATTATTGTGGCTTACTAAAGAGTATCTGGTGGACCAATGATAAGCACTCGCCATTTGAAAATATTGTCCTCATCAACCAACCCCGCTGAAAAACCTTCAGTTGCGCTTTTGTTCAGTTCTGAAAATGATTAAGAAAAGCGTGGAAGCCATTGAAATTTGAAAAAAAGTCAACAGTTATACTTATTTATAAGGTCAACTAACCATATAACTGTTTTTTAAGCGAGAGAGCAGATAATGAACTACACATGTTGAAGTTCTGGGGTCCCCGATGTTAAAAACCGCGGCCAGGAGTAACGCAAAAATTGGAACAAGAAACCTTGTAACAGCATGAAAAATCATTTTGAGTAATGTTATTAATGTGAATCTATCTCTTGTTATAAACCAAAAAAGTGCAAATGTGCTGAGAGGAGCAGAAGTTTTGAGTAAGCTGGACTCACAAAATGATGCATGAGACTATTTTGTAAATAAGCTTTTACTTTTGTAATGGAAGTGAGTTGTCCGATTTTCTAAACGTACATGCGTTGTTGCTGGTACATCATGTTCCTCCTCCTCAGATATTCACTGATCATGATTTGTGCTTTCGTTTTTAGATTTCTCCTACTTCCAATTGGACGCTAGATGGTGGTTGGAAGTAGTCAACAGGAAACCATGGGCCCGGGTTTCGTGCTACTTGGCAGTCGTCAGCAGGGTGTACCTGTAATCTTGAGGGACCTGGTTCCCACTGCCGGATTCGATCCCGTGTCGCTCAGCTTCACAGTCAGAGACGTTAACACCGGGATATCCGGGCTGCGATCGACTGTACTGAGTAATTATCATCTGTGAAACAATTAATTGGTATTGCATAGCTCGACCATGTAGGTTGAATCACCCTTGCTTTTCATAACGAACCTATTATTCTCTTTCCAGATCAAATTTATTCTTCAAATGACCTTGATAGCAACTACTGACCGTCACTAATGGACGAGTCGGACTATAATTTTATTTCCACGTATGGTCTAAAGGATTAGTTAGTCACAACATGGCAGTTTCATGAGTTTATATTACGTTTATTCTTCTAGTACTATAGATAAGTACACTTATACAGCATTTGACTTAAACTCATTATTAGTGCGCCAGACTGTTACCAATAAATGGTTCAAAATGGTTCAAATGTTTATGAACGGAATAGAAGAAGCTTTCGCCTAACAGGCTTCCGTGTCTAGTAGCAGGGAATCACCAAAACCTCCAGGCAGGAACCTAGGTATATTAATAATAAAAGAGGAAAAATAAATTGGTAAATCATAGTATGATACTATCCTTAATCCTTAAGAATAGATCAAGTTGCCTATTAAAGGACTCCTGGGAAGTTGCCTGGACTAGCTCGGTCGGCAGCGAATTCCAGCATTTGACAACTCTTAAGGAGTAAAAGTTGTGTCTACAGCCCGTTCTGTTATGTTGTGTCTCCAATTTCTGGGTGTTACTCCTTAGTTTAGTGTTGGAACTAAGCTTAAGTAGGTGTTCAAGAGGATGTCCAGAATTGTTTAAGATAGGGCACCAGGACTCCTAAATATTTTTCGACTTGGGATACTACTAGAGGAGAGTTTCCCAAGCTGTAGCTGTAGTCTGCGACATGTCGCAGATGGACCACTCTACACTTTGAAGTGTTAAAGGTAAATCCGTTATCGTCTGCCCAACTTTGACGTCGAGTCAGATCCTCCTGAAGTGCCTGTATATCGTCTTGGTTGCGTATCTCTCTCCAAAGTTTCACGTCGTCGGCAAAAAGTAATAAGTCTGACGTTACCTGTTGAGGAAGATCATTTATGTAAATCAAGAAGAGAAGAGGTCCTAGTATTGAGCCTTGTGGGACTCTACTAGGACATTCCATAGCCTGAGATAAAGTGAAGTTAACACTGACCTTAAAATGTCGATTTTTCAGACATAAAGTGAGCCAGTCGATTAGAGGTGGTCTGATACCCAATCGTTTGAGCTTATTGATAAGACATGTATGGTTAACCTTATCAAAAGCTTTTGAGAAATCTAGGTAGATGATATCAATCTTCTCCTTGTGATCGAGGATGCTTGTCCGTCTGTCCACCGCAGTCAGCAGGTTGGTTATACAAGAGTAACCCTTCCTATAACCATGCTGTTGGGGTGAGGAGAAATTTAAGGACAGCAAATAACATTTATGCCATCGCATATCAGGGACTCCATGATTTTTGAAGGTATTGAGAGAAGAGTCACCGGTCGGTCGAGCTCCTTTGAAAATTGGTGTGATGTGAGCCAGCTTCCAATTTTCCGGTAGTTTGCCTCGGCTTAGCGAGTGTGAGAACACCACACTAAGCGGCGTTGCCAGGATTGAGGCTGCTTCCCTCGGTATGGCAGAACGGACCATATCCGGGCCAGGAGAAATGTCGATTCTTAAGTGCTGCAGTTTCCGGAATACCAAGTCAGCGCTCAGGTTCACTTCGGAAAGTCCTTTACAGTTGCAGATGAAACTGTCATCAGTATAGTTGATGTGGGTCGGTTGAAATGTCCGAGAGTATTGTTCAGCCAAAAGGTTAGCGGCGTCGCCGTTGGTCGGGCTGTTAAGACCTAGCAGTTGGGAAACTCCACTTTTGGCTTGACGAAGAGAGGCTGCATAACGGAATAAGCTTTTAGGATTAGAGGCAAATTTATCCATAAGCTTTGTCTGGTACTGAAGCCTGTCACCTCTTATAGCCTTCGTGCATATGTTCCTTATATGTTTGTATTGCCTGTACGCTCCGTCGTTGTCAGTTCGTTTGTACTCTGCCCAACAGTGCCTTTTGCGGCTTAGCAGGCGGAGGGTGAGGTTCCCGATGACTGTGGGTTGCTGATAGCTATGGGGGACCGTTTGAGGAACTGAATGATCTGTAGCACATATGGGCATTTGAAGTAAGAAGTCCCAATGAGCATCCACATCGAGTTGAGGGTGAACATCCCATCCTGTAGAGCTGACACATTCAACCGTTTGAAATTCCAGCGCAAGTTGTTGGTGGGATATCTTAGCTCAGTTTTACTGAAGAAACTGAAGGCTATAACGGCGTGATCGCTTTTTCCCAGGGGAGCCAGGATTGATAGGTTGTTAACTGGGAATTCTTCGTTTGTAAATACACAGTCTAAGCGCGATGGTGTCTGACTGTTTCTCCAACGAGTTGCCGTTTTTACATTTTCGTGTAATCCCAAGCCCTCGATGAGGTTGAAGAACTGAGCTCCAGTTGAGTTTTCACATACAATATACGTGTGTTCCGCGAAATCGACTCTAGGGAGATTAAAGTCCCCTAGAATCAGGATGTGTGTGAAACCGAGACGGGTAGAGCGGGATAGTCCTTCCAGTATGCGACTGTCATAATCGATGTCGGCAGTGGGATTCCTATAGATTACCCCGACTAGGCACCTCGAAGTAGTAGACAGTCTTACAGAGCACCATATGGATTCCTTAAGATTGTTAAACGCGAGGTTGTAGTGGCATTGGACAATAGCCACACAATCCACAAAGCTGTGAACACGAGACTACTCAGAAAATAGATATTCAATATTTAACTCGGGGAAATACCTAACAATGGAGAAGGCGCGAGCAATGAATTGAAGGAACTAGAGTTGATCGAACGGCATGGCTCGGCCATGCAGGCGTGGTCTCTGCTGAATGTTACCTTATATCTTCTATTCATATTAAATATATTGTTCTTTCTCTAGCCTAACCTTGTTCTACATCATGTATTGGTAATTGATACGATACAGTGAGTTGGTGTAGTCGACGGTGTGACTTCCACGTAAGATCTTATAGGTTAGGCAGTTATATCATGACAAATCTACAAATTTAGGATTAGGTCTATTATTAGAGCAGTACTAATATCATTGTAGACCATAATTCTACAAGGTTTCGAACTTGATGTGCCTCCGGGCAAGATCGTATTTATACGGCTACTCGACTACCAATTTATGTTTCTCTGTCGTTGCGAAACAAAAACATCCTAGGTGTTGCTGACTTCTAGTCCGTAAACTGAGAAGATATCCAAGTTCCAGATATTCCTATCGGATGAGCCTTGTTAGCTTTGGTAAGTTCACGTAGCTCATAAATTTTGTTTTGTAGACTTGCGGCGTTCATGTATAAGCAGTTTATGCTTTCAACTTGAAACACGTGAGCTTCTTCCTGTTTGTCTGTATGAGCCTTACGTGAATGGACAGGTAGCCTACCTATATAAGGTTTGCCGAGTTGGTAGGCCCTGTCCTTTACACGTTTTTTTATGATCAAGACAGCCTACAAGTGGAATATTCAGCACCAACTTGCCTTTTTGCTTGGTCCTAGTTTCAAAAGGCCTATCCAGGTGCACGTGGATTCCAGTTGGCAACCGACGTCTGTTTGCACGAAATGCCTCCAGAGTTGCAGCCGCCATATGGGAGGATGGGAAAGTTATCGTCATTAGTCTGGGTCTGGAATCACCGTCCTTCTTGGCTAGTCTCGTCACATGTTGAGTCAGTATGTGTTTGGGCTTCAAGGACTGCTTGATGAATTTCCATTTCCTGATGTCAGAGTTTGTTTGACTAGGGTCCGTGAGTTCCGGTACACCTTGTACAATTATATTTCTTCTACGGAAAAACTCGCGAGATTCTTTAAGGATGTTCCGGATGAAATCGCGCTCAGAATACGGTATGTCTGGCAGTATTCCTACGTTCCCATCGGATTTCCGTAAATAACTAGCTAGCAGGACATCCTCTACGTCGGTAGCGTTCTTAAGTGTTACACGAAGTAGCCTCGGGTGATTTTGATGCTTAGATTCCTTCCCACAAGTGAGCCGTGTGACCGTCAAAGGCTCTATTCTAGAAAGTTCAACCTTCTTGTTCAATTCACCCCACATCATCCTGTCATTTTTGTCCTGCAAACTGAGAGGGAGATCAGGGTTGTCTTTTGAGATTCATGATTATGAGAGAGTCATCACGAACCGTTATTGTTTTCCCAGGTTTTCCGGTGCGTTCAGGTTCAGCACCTTGTTGTTTGGAGGTCGAAGCAGGTTTCTGGATCCTAGGCTCTTTGATGACCCGATGGAAATTCTTGAGGGTAGATTGTGCGACCAAATCACCAGTTTATTTCCGTACAACATCTGGGATGTTCAGCTTAGACGGTGACGCCTGGTTCTTTTTAGCACTTTTAACGTGGGTCCAATCACCTACAGAGTTTGGGGAATCACTGTCGCATTCAAGGACCCTGAGCTGGGAGACCCGAGTTTACTGAGGGAGTCGACTACCGTC